CACGTTTTGTTGACTTGAAGCAGCTCCGTGTTCAGTCACCATGAGCGAGCGCCTCCTGTGTGTCATGTGATTGAGGTGTTTCTGTGCCTCAGGGGGATCTGATCGCTGCAGGCGTCCTCTCAGGGAACAGAAACTTTGAAGGACGAGTGCATCCCAACACCAGAGCCAACTACCTGGCTTCCCCACCGCTCGTCATCGCCTATGCACTAGCTGGCACAGTGAGAATAGACTTTGAGAATGAGCCCATTGGTAAGTCACTGATTGACCTGCTGGTCACCATCTCTGCCTGCTTTTTGTTTCTGTGGCATTTAGACAAAACTTAAAATATCTAAAGAATATCTGAATCCCCCAACCTGAAATATTTGCTAAGAACTAAAATTTGTCTGGTTTTGATGCATCCAATGATTGGAAGGTTTGAGTAATCTGGACACTTCCAGTTGTTTCCTCCATTTTCACCCACAGGTTTGAGTTGGATCTCCGAGCTTTCACTTACTAACCCAAAACATTTGAGATACTCAGCTGAAGCCTTTTAGTTATAGAAGGCTGGTGGAAACAGGTCCAGGTCTAAATACATAGGAGTGATATTTGAAAGAAAGAGACGAGACAACCTGCAGGTCACTTCCAGCAGCTCTAAGTGTGTTGATGAGCTTTAAACTGAAGCGTCTGTATATAGTTTAGGTTATTATACTGCTGTCCTCTTTCTTTCTCTATTCCCTGTAGCGATGAGCTCTGAAGGCAAAGAGGTTTTCCTCAGGGACATCTGGCCCACTCGAGAGGAAATCCAGGCTGTGGAGAGAATGTTTGTCATTCCATCCATGTTCAAAGAGGTTTATGAGAAGATCGAGGTAGTGTACGTTTGTTGGGGAGATCCTGCACTGCTGATATATGACTCATTGACAGAAAGCCTCGTGCTGTGTTTGTGGTTTCGCTGCAGAACGTGAATGAACGCTGGAACTCGCTGGCTGCTCCCTCTGATAAACTCTACACCTGGGACCCCAGATCAACCTACATCAAGTCTCCGCCCTTCTTTGATGGTTTGGTAAGTACATGCCGTACACGAACGGTCGTCTGCAGACTTATTCAAAGGTTATGTTTTGCCTTCGTTGAGAAGAAGAGTGGACTTAGTGTAGTGTAGTGTGTAGCTTACAGTGTGAAGTGCCTGGAGGTGACTGTGGTGGTGAACTGTGCTCCACCACAGCTCCACAGTCTGTCACGAGTCGTGTTATTGGTTGGGTCTGTCTGCCTAACATTGTGACCCCTCACGTCGTGCATCATAGTCATCATCATAGTCAGCGTTGGGCAGCCACCTCCTCAGCTTATCCAGGGAAACGTTGGGCCTTTCCCAGCGTGTCCCGGGTCTACGCCGGGGCCTCCCTGCGGTAGGACACGCCCAGTTCTAACACCTTACCCAGGTGACCTTAGCCAGAGAGGTGGGCCTACTCTAAAGCCCTTCTGAATGACCTCCGCCCCCTGTCTGGAGCCCATCCACCTTTCAGAGGAAGCTCATTTCCACGTTAACAAAAAGATGGATTAACGATTGATTTGTGCTGTTTCTCACTAACGGCGCCATCTGGTGGAAGACGGTTGCATAACATTTATGACGCAGTAATGTCCCGGCTTCAGTTAAAACAAAGTGAC